TATCATTGCTAAATATTCTTCTGTTTTACTTTTATACTGAAAATAATTATCATCATTTATATTAGCTGAAATGTAAACATTCCATCTATCATATAAACTTTTTGCATCATCAACTATTTTAGTCGCAACAAAACTAGCATGTATTTGTTGAAACATCTATCTAACATGATTTAATCTTCTTACTATTATATCTTCTTCTGTATTTGATTTAATGTTATTGGTTATTAATATAGTTTGAGTATATTCGTAAGTTATTTGTAGATTCGTGGAAACTCTTTCTAACATTTTTTTATAATACAATGTTATACGATATAATTGTGTCATCTGTTGATAATTATTTGGTAATATACTCCAATCAAAATATTGTATTACTTGATTCCAATTATTTCTATCTTCAAGGTTATTAATATTCATTTCATCTTCCATACTCTTTAATATTCTTATCTACTCATTGTAATTTTTACGTTGTCTTTTTCTTGCTGAATCAAAATTTATAGGTTGAATCGTTCTACTAATAACACCTACTATCTCTTCAACAACATTTAATTTTGGAAATTCAACTTCCATTTTTTCAACATCTGGTTCTTCTTTAATAGGTGTTTTTGGAGCATCTTCAAATTCCTCATCAACAGGTATTTTTGGAATTTTATTTTTTGATAAATCAGGAAATTTATCTGCTATAGAAGACATTACACCAAACAACATCATTTGATATAACTCCAAATCTGAAAATTTATTTTCTTTTATTTCATCATGTTCTCTGTAACAACAATCTTCATAAGGATTTTGATTATATTTACATTTACATATTTCTTTTGAATTAACATTTAAAGTTAAAAACAATAAAAAAATATAAAAAATGAATTTCATTTTTCTTTTTTTTTAATAAATATTAAACCACCACCAACAATGTTTCTTTTTATATCTATCGAGATTATATAATCACATATTTAACAACTATAAATATTTTATTTTTTTTGTTCTTTTAAAACAATCGTTATCTTTTAATATGAGGTAATTTTTCTTTTCTTTTTTTTTTATCTAACATTTTTTTTCTAAAAATTATAATAATTTACAGTAATAATTGGGGACCACCATCTAAAAAAATAATTCATAATTACTATTTCGATCTATTTAAAAATATTGAAACTTACTGTAATGCTTGTTATTCAACCGAATATTTTTATAAAAATTATAAATTTAAAGCAAAATATTGTCTCGCTTGTTACTCAACTGAACATTTTTTTAAAGATTGTTTATATAACAAATGTTCTTGGTGTGATAAAAGACATGTTGGATCATGTAAAAAAATGAAATATTGTTTTATTTGTAAAAAAAATAATCATGAATTTATACATTGTTTTTTTAAAAATAATAATAATAATAAAATGAAATAAAATAAAATAAAATTATATATATATATTTTTTTTAATGTTTAGGATGAGAACGTTTATTAAAACCATATCTACCACATATACTACATTTAACTTTTTTTCTTTTTTCTTGTTTTTTGTTTTGTTTATCTTCTCATTTTCTCTTATGTCAACCAATATCAATATGTGTACGTTTGTTAAAACCTAATATTCCAACATTGTCATTTTTACATACTGAACAACTTTTTTTGATTTTTTGGTGTTGTTAACAATACACCCACAATATCTTCTGCGAATATATTATTAATGATTAATAAAACAATAAAAAAAAATAAATAAATTTTTTTAACTTCTATTTTTTTTTTATTTTAAAAAAAAAATAAACTATAGTTTTATTTATATTAAATTTAAACTAATAGTATTTTATCTTTTTGAACGTCCTTTTCCTCTTCTTTTTGGGTTTTTCACAGATAGTTTATGCATATTTTCATAAGTATCACCATAATGTACATATATCCCACCCCTATAATTTTTTGTAACTTGTCCATTTTTGTTTAGAATCATCTTGTATTGTCCTGTTTTAAAATCCCATATATATAATTTTGAAAGTTCAATACCGACAATAACATCATCATCTTGCGCTAATACTCCTAATGATAAAAATAAAATGAATACAAATATATATCTCATAATATCGATCACCAATCTTAATACCACTAACGAGTGATTAAATTCTATTTATAGTTTTTGTTTATCAGAATCATCTCTTCT